TCTCCTTTTAACATGTTGGATTCTCTTTGCTAAATTTTTGTTTAGGTTGACTGCATCTAAGTTCACAAGGGATATTCATCTTTAGTTGTCTTCAATGTCTTTTTCTGGTTTTGGTATTAGAGTAATGCTGGCTATATAGAATGAGTTGGGAAGTATTCCTTCCACTTCTGTGTGATAGAAAAATTTGTGTAGAGTTGCTCTTTCCTCCTCAAATATTTTGTAGAATTTACCAGTGAGGCCATCTGTCCCTGGAGTTTTCTTTGTATGAAAGATTTTTAACTACGGCTCAGTTTCTGTAATAGAGGCCTATTCAAATTATCTGTTTCTTCCTGAGTGAGCTTTGGCAAAAGTTTGTTTCTTTCAAAGAAATTGTCCTTTTCACTTATTGACAAGTTTATTGGTATGGAGTTCGTAATACACTCTAGGGTGATGTTTCCTCTCATGTTCATGATATTGGTAATTTGTGTCTTCCCACTTTTCCTTCATCGGTCTGGCTAGAGACTTATCAATTTTATTGATTTTGTTCAAGAATCAGCTTTTGGTCTCATTGGTTCTTCTCTGTTGATTTTGTTTTGTTTTATTGATTTCCACTTTGATCTTGATCATTTCCTTTCTTCTGCTTACGTGGGTCCAGTATGTTCTTTTTCTAGTTTCGTAGGTTGGAAACTAATTGATTTAAGACCTTTTTATTCTAAGTATTGAGTGCAATAAATTTATTTTAGCAACTTTTTGTTTAAATTTTCATTCACTTTAAGATACTTTGTAATTTCCCTTTTGATTTCTTTGACCCTGGGGTCATTTAGAAATGTATTATTTAGTTTCCAAATATTTAATGGTTTCACAGAGATTTTTCTGTTATGAATTTCTAACTTCATTGCATGGTAGTCTGAGGACATATGGTTTGAATTCTTGTAAACTTTCTTGAAATTTGTAATATGCTTTTCAGAATATGTTCTGTCTTGGTAAATGGTCCCTGTGAACATTATAGAAGGTATATGCTGCCTTTGGGTGGAGCATTCTGTAAAAGATCAAGTTAGGGGTGCCTGGGTGGCTCACTTGGTTATTAAACATCCAGTTTTGGCTCAGGTCATGATCTCACAGTTTTTGAGCCCCGCATCAGTCTCTGTGCTGACGGCTTAGAGTGTGGAGCCTGGTTCAGATTGTCTGTCTCCCTCTCTCTTTGCCTCTCCCCCGCTTGCACTCTGTGTCTCTCAAAAATGAAATTAAACATTTAAAAAAATGTTCTCAAAAAGTTAGATCAAGTTAGCTGGTAAAGTCTACTGTGTCTTTGCTGATTTTTTATCTATTTGCTTTATGTGTTATTGAGAATATGGTATTAAAACTTCTGTAATTGTGAATTTGCTCATTTACCCTTGAAGTCACACTTGTTTTTGTTAAATGTATCTTAAAAGTTTTGTTATTAGGTGCATAAATGAGTAGGGTTGTTATGTCGTTTTGACTGACTGATCTCGTTAGCATAATGAAATAAATTTTTTGTGGTTCCTGGGTGGCTCAGTCGGTTAAGTGTCTGACTTTGAGTCAGGTCATGATCTCACAGTTAATGAGTTCCAGCCCCACATTGGGCTATGTGCTGACAACTCAGAGCCTGGAGCCTGCTTTGGATTCTGTTCCTCTCTCTCTCCCCACTTGTGTGCACACTGTCTCAAAAATAAAAATAAACATTAAAAAAGGTTTTTTTTTTTAGTAATTTCTGCACCCATTCTGGGATTTGAGCTGACAACCCTGAGATCAATATCCACATGCTCTTCCAAATGAGTGAGCCAGTTTCCCCAACAAAATAAAATTCTTAATCCCTGGTGATTTGTTCTGAAATCTTTGTTGGATGCTAATATGGTCATACTAAGTCTCTCCGACTAGGTGTTAGCATGGCTTATCTTTTGTTTGTTTGTTTTTGTTTTTTACTTATATTTAAAAAATTTTTTTAATGTTTATTTTTGAGACAGAAACAGCACGAGTGGGGGAGGGGCAGAGAGAGAGGGAGAGACTCCAGGCTCTGAGCTGCCAGCACAGAGTCTGACGTGTGGCTCGAACCCACAAACTGTGAGATCATGACTTGAGCCGAAGTAAGACACTTAACCAAGTGAGCCACCCAGGCACCTCCTGTTTTTTACTTCTAACTTATTTAAATCTTTGTATTCAAAGTGCATTTCTTATAGGCAGCTTATAATAGGGTTTTGTTTTTATGTAGTCTGTCTCTCTTTTTTTAAAGAAATCGAACATGCACACACACGAGTTGGGGAGGGGCAGAGGGAGAGAGAATCCCAAGTAGGCTCCATGGCCAGTGTACTTAGCGCAGAGCATCCTGACTTGGGACTTGATCTTACAACCGTGAGATCATGACCTGAGCTGAAATCAGCAGTCACTCAACTGACTGAACCACTCAGACCCTTAAAAGTGTAAAATCCACATTAAAAAATCATGTTAGATGTAAATAATGTTAACACTGCTATTCAGACAGAGATTGTTGGGGCCCCTGGGTCACTCGGTTAAGCCTCCAACTCTTGATTTCATCTCAGGTCATAATCTCACAGTTCATGAGATTGAGGCTCGCGTCAGGCTCTAAACTGACAGCATGGAGCCTGGTTGTGATTCTCCCTCTCTGCCCTTCTCCAACATGCTCATGCTCTCTCATTTTTCCATCTGAAAATAAACATTTACAAAAAAGATTTTATACTTTAAAAAAAAATGTTCCATATCTAGAGGCATGTATCTTAAGTTTACTTCTATTTAGGCAGAGAGAGCTCGGGCGCGCATGCGTGAGTAGGGGAGGGGCAGAGAGAGAGTGAGTGAATCCCAAGCAGGCTCCAAGCTGTCAGTGCACAGCCCCCGTGGGGCTCGAGCTCACGAGCCAGGAGATCATTACCTGAGCTAAAATCCAAGAATCCAATACTGACCATCTGAGCTGCCCAGGTGCCCCAGGATTTTACATTTTTAGAGCAGTTTTAGGTTCACAGCAAAATTGTGGGGCAGCTATGGAGATTTCTTATACATCTACTGACCTCACACATGCATAGCTTCCCCCATCATCAGTATTTCCCACCAGAATGATACATTTGTTACAGTTAGTGAACCTTCATTGAGAAATCATAATCACACAAAGTCCATAGTTTACACTAACATTCCGTGGGTTTGAACAAATGTATGACATGTTTCTGTCGTAATGGTATACACAGAGTATATTACCGTTTCAGTGTCCTTGCCCCCTACCCTCCACAGCCACTGATCTTTTTACTGTTTCCATTGTTTTATATTTCCAGAATATCATTTAGTTGGAATCATATAGTAGGTAACCTTTCAGTTTGAGTTTTTTCACTTAGTAGTATACACTTAGGGTTTCTGCATGTCTTTTCATGGCTTGATAAGTCCTTTCTTTTTAGCATTGATTAATACATTCTGTTGTCTGGATGTGCCACATTATCCATTCGCCAATGGAAGGGCGTCTTGAGTCCTTTAAGTTTTGATAATTATGAATAAATACTGTGGGCAGATTTTTATGGGGTCACTAGTTTGCAGCTCTTTTGTTTAAGTATCAAGGGCACACCAACTGTGTTATATGGTGAGAGCCTTTTTTGTGAGAAACTGCCAAACTGTCTTCTAACATAGCTGTGCCTTTTTGCCTTACACCAGTAAGGAATGAGAGTCCCTGTTGCTCTCACCCTTGCCAGCATTTGATGTTGCCACTTGTTCTGGATTTGAGCCATTCTAATAGATGTGTAGTGGTATGTTGTTTTAACTTAGTTTTCCCTGATGATATGCAGCGTGGAGACTCTTTTCATATGCTTATTTGCTATGTGTTTATCTTCTTTGGTGAAGTATCTGTTAAAGTCCTTGGCCCATTTTTCAATCAGGTGGCTTGTTTTCTTATTGTTAAGTTTTAAAGTTGCATATTTTGGATAACAATTCTTGATCAGATTTTTTTTTCCCTCAGTCTGTGGCTTATTTTTTCATTTTTTTGGACATTGAACAGTTTTTTTTCCCACAGAAGTTTTTAATTTTGATGAGGTCTAATCTATCAGTTTCATGGATGGTGCCTTTGGTGTTGTATCTAAAAAGTCATTGACATACCCAGGGTCATCTAGATTTTCTTCTACATTGCCTATGGGAGTTTTATAGTTTGCCATTTTACATTTAGGTATGTGATCCATTTTGTATTAATTTTGTGAAGGATATAAGATCTATGTCTGGTATCATTATTTTGCATGTGGGTGTCCAGTTTTTCAAGCAGCGTTTGTTGAAGTCTTCTTAAATTTTCTTCTTGAACCTGGAATATCTATTTAGTTCTTTGATTTTGTTCTTCAGCACTTTGTAGTTTTCCCTCATAGATATTGTCCATACTTGTTAGATTTATACCTAAGTATTTAATTTTGGGAGATGCTAGGCTAAATGATACTCAGGTTTTAACTTCAAATTCTATTTGTTCATTGGTGGTATATAGGAAAGGTTTTTGTTTTTGTTTTTGTTTTTTTGTATGTTAACTTTGACTCCTACAGCCTTGCTATAATTACTTATTAGTTTGAGGAAATGACAAAATACTTAATTTTCTACATGGATGTTCATAACATCTGCAAACAAAGGCAGTTTTGTAACTTCTTTCTCAGTCTGTATACCTTTTATTTCCTTTTCCTGTCTTACTTCACTAGCTGGAACTTCCAGTATGATATTGAAACAAAGTGATGGAAGCAAGCATTCTTGCTATGTAAGTTATCTTAATAAAAGCTTTAAGTTTCTCACCATTAACTATGATGTTAGATAGATATTTTGTAAATAGTTTTTGTTGAGTTGAGGAAGTTCCCCTGTATTTCTAGTTCACTGGGATTTAATATGATTTTTCATATGGTTAGGTTTCACTCTGTCATCTTACTCTTTTCTGTTTTGTTTTGTTTTTTTCCATTAGGTTCTATGCCCAAGGTGGAGTTGAACTCCTAAGCCCTAGATCAAGAGTTGTGTGTTCTACCAAATGAACTAGCTAGGAGCCCCTAAAAAATATGAAATCCTTCACAAATTTGTGTGTCATCCTTGCGCAGAGGCCATGCTAATCTCCGTATTGTTGCAATTTTATTATCTGTGCTGTTGAAGCAAACAGTGTTTTCTGTTTCTTAAGTTGTTTGTTTTCTTTTTCTCTTATTCCATTTTATCTCTGCTTTTGACTTACTGCCTATAACTTTTTTGGTGATTACTTTAGGGACATGGTTGTCAGGTGGGTCTGACTTATTTCCCAGAGGACTTTGGGTAACGTCTAGGAATATTTTTGATTTTCACAATGTGGGGAAGTTGCAGTTTGTGCTACCAACACCTCATAAGTAGAAGTCACGGATGCTGGTAAACATCCTCCAGTACACAACGCAGCTTCCCACAACAGACACTGACCTTGCCTAAAATGTCAGTAGTTCCAAGATACAGATCTTCCCTGATTTACAATGAGTTTATGTCTCAATAAATTCACTGTAAGTTGAAAATATCTTAAGTTGAAACGTAGTTAATGCACCCAACCTACTGAACATCATGACTTAGCCTAACCTACTTTAAATGTACTGAGGACACTTATTCTACAATTGGGCAAAATCATCTAGCACACAGTCTTTTATGATAAAGTTTTGAATATTTCATGCACTTTATAGAATAGTGAAAGTGAACAACACAGTGGTTGTATGGGTACAGAATGGTTATAAATGTATGGATCATTTGCCCTCATGATTGTGTGGTGGACTGGGAGCTGCAGCTCAGTACCACTGCTTAGCATCATAAGAGTGTTTTGTACCAAATATTGCTAGGCCAGGAAAAGATTAAGATTAAAATTTTGAAGTATGGTTTGTACTGAGTGCATATCATTTTCACTCATTGTAAAGTGAAAAAACGGCAAATTGAACCATCATAAAAGTCAAGGACCATCTGTATATCTTTAGTTTATCACAATCTACCTTCATGTGATAATACCACTTATGTATAGTTTAAGAACCTTATAATAGTGTATTTCCATTTCTCCCTGCCAGGACCTTATGCTAGCATTTTCATACATTTCACACTTGTAGTAAATCCTATGATACATATTTATTATTTTTTATTTAAACAGCCAATTATTTTTCATATACTTGTAAATGATAAGAGAAAGATGTGTGTATTTATCCTTGTAGTTATTATTACTCCCGTTTTTCATCTAGACTTCCATCAAGTATCATTTTCCTTCTTCCAAAAGGACTTCTAACATTTCTTGTAGTACGGGTCTACTGGTGACGAATACTTCAGCTTTTGCATGTCTAAAAGTGTTTCTTACCCATTTTTGTATGTGGTAAAGCAAGTAAATTTATTCTTAATGTTTTTATAAATACAGATTACAGTATTGTTTAACTGTATGTACATTGTTGTACAACAGATCTCTGACATCACCTTTGTTTTTGAAAATATTTTTGCTGGATATGTAATTATAGCTTGGCAGTTTTTTCTTCCAGTATTTAAAAAATGATGCTCCAGTCTTCTCACTTGCACTGTTGCTGATGAGAAATTTAATGTCATCCTTACTTCATTCTTCTGTGTGTAGCATGTCTTTTTTCCAGGCTAGGTGATGGGAACAGGTGGTGGTCTTGGCCATGAGTGACAGGCAGTTTTCCCTTTAATCCTTTGGGATAGTTCTTTCTTTGGTGTCAGGTAGTTCACACACCTGTGCTGTTGAGTATTATGTTGAATACTTCAGAGAACTCTGCAGATCTCCTGGGTTCACTCTCTGCAGTTCTTTCCTTTTTTGTACTCTATTCTTGGGTTCATCTTCTTAGACTCTTGTTTCCGTCTCCTCATCTCATGAAGTCTTCTAGGCTCTGTCTTAGTTCACTTTCATGCTCCATGGCGTGGAAACTTTTCCAAGATAGTAAGCTGAGGTAATTGTAGGACCCCACTTGTTTTGTTTTACTTCTCTCAAGTAGCGTTGTCCTTCATTGTCTAATGTCCATTGTCCGGAAAACAATTGTTTCAACTCTCGTCAGATTTTTTTAATCACTTCAGGTAGAAGGTGAATTCATTCCCTGTCACTTTATCTTTTTTTCTTTGTGATTCTTCTATTATTACACAATTTAACATAATTCACATATTAAAGTGTGCAATTCAGTGGTTTTTAGTACATTCAGTGCTATACAATGTCATAAATTCAGTGCTATACAATGTCATCACTATCTTGTTGCAGAACATTTCCATCACCCTAAGAACAAGTCCCATACCCATAGTCATTTTCCATCCTACTACCTTTACCACTCCGTGACAACCACTAATCACTTTCTTTCTCTGTGGATTTGCCTATATCTGGACATTTCCTGCAAATGGAATCATATTATATGGCCTTTTGTATCTGATGACTTTCACATTATATAATGTTTGAAAGTCATCATGCATGTTGTATCATACATCAGTACTTCATTGTTTTTAATGGCTGGATAATATTCCATTGTATGTATTTCATGTTTGTTGGAGTGGAAGGCAGCTATTGAATCCTTTTAACTATTTTATCTCCCATGTAGTCCATAGATAGCTTTTCCAGGTGATTTTAATATGCTGCCAGGATTTAGAAATTACTAGAAGAGAATCAGGTTTAATTAGAATGGGATAAGGACTTATCTAGACTCTTTTTTCCTTTTGTCTTCCTCCATCTCTTCTTTCTTTGTCTCTGACAGCGATCCCAGATGAGTAGTTTTAAAGATTGACACTGGTTGCTTTTTGTAATACATACAACTTGAGTAAACTTTAGAAAATGTAGAGGAGAAAATAGAGACCGCCTATAATTTCACTATTTAATGCTTCTGCATCATTCTTTTTCTTTTTTCTTTTTTTTTTTTAACTTGGGCACATTTCTTACCAGCTTTTTAAAAAATTCTACATTTACTCATATTGTTGTCTTATTCTTTTTACCTTACTATATTTTAGATTATCTTCAGTATGTGGTTTTGTTTCCTGCTTTTTCTACTTAATGCATAGTTTCATATGTCATTATTTTTTAAAGAAGTCTTGAATGGCAATGTATTTAAAGCTTAGAAACATCTCCCAAACTGTACTCCAAATCCTACCAGTTTACACTTTAACACATTCACTAGGACTCATTCTTAAAAGTTTCTGTTTTACTCATCACAAGTTCACTAGCACTGTAAATATTGCCTTGCCAGCATGTTTTGTTTACATTAAATTTTTGTTTCATTATAGGTTGTTATTCTCCCCTCTTCATTTTTAAAAGCCCAGTATGGGGCTTGAACTCACAACCCTGAGATCAAGAGTGGCATGCTGTACTGACTGAGTCAGCCAAGTGCCTCTTTTCTTCATTGTATAAATCATCTTATTGATTCGAATGATACAGAGAAGATTAGCATGGCCCCTGTGCAAGGATGACATGCAAATTCATGAAGCATCCCATTTTTAAAAAATATAAAAATAAAAATTACCTTTATTGAAGTGTAATTTACATACAGCATAAAGCATTTATTTTGCGTGTGGTTCTTTGTGTTAATAAACAAATATACCTGTGTAAGCACCCTTCCAAAAAATAAATAGAATATTTTCATATCCTACAAAAGTCCCCTTTGAGCTCTTTTGTAGTCCTGTTCTCCACTCCATTTCAGTCAACTACTGAACTGTTTTGATCACTATAGATTAGTTTTCTCTGTTCACAAGCATCATACACGGAACCATAACAGTATATGCTGTTACATATACTGCTGCTTACATCTGGTTATTTCTCAGTATACTTTCGAGATACATCATTGTTGTGCTGATGTGTGTGGTGTCATTCATTTGACCCTCTTTCCCTCTTTTAACTGAATAGTATTCCAGTGAATGAATGTATTCATTTTGTCTATTTTCCTGTTAAATACATTTGTATTATTTCCAATTTGGGGCTATCGTGAGTAAAATAGCAGTTAACATCCATGTGCAAGTTGTTTGTGAACATGCATTTCACTTCTTGGGTACAAACTTAGCAGTAAGATGGCTGGGTCATATGACAAGGTTATATTTATACTGATTAGAAACTGCCCAATAGTTTTCCAAAGGGGTGATATCATTTGACACTCCCACCAACAGTCGTATTGTCAGTTTCTTAATTTTAGTCATTTTGTGAGTGTGTAATAAAATCTTTCTATGGATTTGTTTTGCATTTTTCTGAAATAAAGATATTCAGCATCCTTTCAAGCACTTACTGGTTATTACTGTGTTTGGTGAAGTTTCTGTTTAAATTATTGACTCATTATGCTAAAAAAAAAAGAATGGGTTGGTTTATTATTGAGCCATAACAGTTCTTTATATATTCTGGATAGTAGAGCTCTCACGTATGTATTGTGAATATTTTTTTTCAATCTGGCATCTCTTTTCATTTTCCTGATTTTGAATAGCATAACTTTTGAATTTTCAGGAAGTCCAATTTGTCAATTGAAATCTTTGCCAAACCTAGGATTGGTAAATTTTTTTTCCTGAATTTTCTTATGGATGTAAGTTTAGGTTTTATATTTAGGGTTTGTGATCTATTTTGAGTTAATTTTTGTGTAAAGTAGGAGTTAAGAGTATAGGCTCATTTTTTCCTCCAAACTCCTGTTTAGGCCATTTGTTGAAAAGACTATCCTTCTCCTCATTTAATTCCCCCACTAATTGACACCTTTGTCTCAGATTCATTATCTGTGTGTATGTGGGTCTATTTCTAGACTTTTCTGTTGCTTTATATGTTCATATGTTAGTGATGTTGATTAATTTACCTTTATACTTTATAACTTAATGATTTAGTAGTCAGATTGTGTATGTTTTTCATATTCTTTTTCATGGTTGTTTTGACTATTTTTCTTTGGCCTTTCTTTATGAATTTTATAATCCCCTTGTCCACTCCTGTTAAAAAGAAAAAAACCTGTTGGGGTTTTGATAGGGATTCATTAGAAATTTAGATAATATAGGGGAAAATCTACCCAAGTAAATTTTTTTTGGAACAGTATTGAACCTTCCAATCCAGGAACATGTTTTGTTTCCATTTATGTTGCTGTGTAAGTTTTACACATAATTTGTTAAGTTTGTCTCTAAGTATATAGCAGATTTGATACTGTTGTAAGTGGTATTGCTTTTTATTTACATTTTTCAGTTGCTGATATATGGAAATATAATTGAGTGTTTAATATAGACCTACAACTTTGTTAAATTAATTTTTTAGCCCTAGGAGCTCTGTTGAGATACCTTAGGATTGTCTCCCTACATGAACCATATCATGTGCAAATAATTTTACTTCATTCCCAGTCTGCATGTCTGTATTTGTTTTTCCTCTGTCATTGTACTGACTAGAATCATAGGTGAAATGTGAGCAGAAGTGGTGAGAACAGACTTCCTTGGCTTGAACTTGATCTCAGTAGTAAAACAGTCAGTCTTTGAACATTAAGTATGATTATTAAGTATAGGTTTTCCATGAGTACCTGCCTTTTATTGGTTCGGGACATTCCCTTCTTTCAGGGAATTTTATGTTATGACTGGGTGTTTAAAAAAGGGTTTTAGGGGAGCCTAAGTGGCTCAGTCGGTTAAACGTTCGACTTCGGCTCAGGTCACGATCTCACGGTTCTTGGGTTTGAGTCCTGAGTTGGTCTCTGTGGTCTCAGCTAGCTCAGAGCCTGGCGCCTGCTTCAGATACTGTGTCTCCCTCTTTCTCTGACCCTCTCCTGCTCACGTTGTGTCTGTCTCTCTCAGAAATAAATAAAACATTTAAAAAAATTAAAAAGGGTTTTAACTGTCAAAATTTCTAGTATTTTCCCTTTTTCTTAAATTTCCACTATTTTGAGTATTACAGCTCTTTGATATGTTTTAATAAAAACAGGAAACTTTTATCCCTTAGAATGTGCCATCAACTCCTCTGAATACCCTTTTAACTTACATAATCATCACAACAATCCTTTGAAGTGTATGTTATCCAAGTTTTACAGATGAATTTCAAATCATTATTTTCCAAAGGAACCTAAATATCTTTGTTTCCCATTCTCTTCATTGTGGATATACGAATATTCATTTCTAATAAGGGAGGTTTATTTGTTGTTTCTCCTTGTGTAGTATTTTGGTGTCTCCCCACATGCTTCTTGATTTTAATTATCTTTAGAGCATGTTGAACGTTAACATGGTTTTAAAACTTCAGAACCATACAGAGTTGTTTACTCAGAATTTTCTTTCCTTATCCCTTTTACTCCATTCATAATACCCTAGTCTTAACTGATAAATGATCACATTTATCAGTTGCTTGTGAACTTGAGGAGCATTGGGTATAATATAGCTATAAGATCTACCTTACTAAAGTTAGTTCGGTGCTTAGGTCCATGTGTACCTTTCATCCATTTGACTTCTGCTGAGAGTGGTGGGGTAAAGTTAGTTAATATTATTACTGTGTCTTTATTTACTGGTCCTTACATATCGTGTAGATTTTGCTTGATAAAGTGATTTCTGTGTCATTTGGTGCATAGATATTCTTAAATCTGTATAGATACCCAAAATCTATAGATACATACATTCTTGATTCTTGAATGATATGTAGATATTAAAAACCCTTATTGTGAATTGTGGGTTTTGGGTCATGCTTAATGTTCTTTGACTTGAACTCTACTTGTCTAATAATGAGGATTCTGCTCATCTTTTTTGCTGTCTTTCATTCCTGATAAACTTTCATTCATTCCTTTAATTTTACTTTTTCTGAACTACATTTTTTTTTTTTTTTGGTGTGTTGTACACAGCATATAGTTGAGTCTTGGATTATTAAACAGTTGGAAAATTTTTTTTGTTTTCATAGACAAGTACATTCATATTTATTGTTATGACTGAGCACATTTGGTCTCAACTCTTTTATAATATTTAGTTATTTTTGTATTGTGTTATATTGTCTTTTTTTTCTCTGCTCTCATGTAAAAAGATTATATTTTATATTTGAGAAGGATTTTTTCCTCCTGTTTTTATTTTTTTCATTTTTTTAAATGAATTTTATTTAAATATTTTAGATGAATTTTATTTGAATATTTATTTTTAAGAGAGACTGTGCAAGTGTGAGTTGGGGAGGGGCAGGGAGAAAGGGGAACAGAGGATGCAAAGTGGGCTCTGAGTGACAACAGTGAGCCTGATGTAGGGTGCAAACTCATGAATCCTGAGACCATGACCTGAGCCGAAGTTGGACCCTCAACTGATGAGCCACTCAGGTGCCCCTGTCCTTCTGTTTTTAGTTGCATTATTTCCACTTTAGTGTGCAGACATTTATACATTAGTCTTTCAGCCTTTGACCATCTTTGAGAGGTGTCTGTGAGTTTACCAGTTGTCTCTTGGTTGGTTGAAGCCAAGATGAAGATGGCTTCCAGTATGTAGCTAGTAGTCATTTGTGGCTGTTGAGCACTTGAAATATGGCTAGTCTGATGTTCTATACATGTAAAATACACACTAGATTTTGGTATGGGAGAAAAAAATGTAAAATATCTGCACACATTTTTGTGTTGATGGCATGTTGAAATGATAATGTTATAGATGTATATATTGGCTTAAAATTATTAAAATTAATTTTATCTACTTTTTTACTTTTTTAAGTGTGGCTACTAGAAAATTTAAATATATGACTGACATCTGAGGCTTGCATTGTATTTTTGTTTAACAGTGATATTCTAGTAGATTTGTCAAAAGAGCCCAATAGAATTCTTAAATTCCTTCTGTTGCCTTGATACTTGAAAGACAACTTAGCTGGGTATAAAATCCTTCGTTCATACCTTTCATTTATTGAGCTTTGTAAAATGGTGCCTCATTGATGATTTGCCTTATATGTTTTTTGAAGTCTGATTTAATCTCTTTTTTTAATGCCATTTGAGTTATTGTACTAAATTAATTTATATTAGATACTATTATTACTCTTAATTTATTTAGAGGCCTTGAGGATTTTTTCATTAGTTTTGAAATAGTTTTATTCAAATATATGTCAGAATTGGTTGTTCTGCATTATTTTTGTCAGGTACTTAATAAGCTTTTTTTAATGTTATGGTGAAGATCTCATAACATAAAGTTTGCCATCTTAACCATATTTAAGTGTACAATACAGTAGGGTTAACTACATGCACAGTGTTATGCAACAGATACCTAACACTTTTTCTTCTTGGAAATTGCAACTATACCCATTGAACAACAGCTTCTTTTTTCTTCTTCTTCCTCCAGTCCCTAGCAACTACTATGCTACTTTCTATTTTTAAAATTTTGACTACTTTAGAGGCACCTGGCTGGCTTAATCAGTAGAGCATGCAAGTCTTGATCTTGGGGTTGTGAGTGTGAGCCCCGTGTTAGGTGTAGAGATTTTTTTTTTTAAATGAGTCTTTTTAGAGGTGCCTGTGGGGACTCAGCTAAATGGCTGCCCAACTCAGGTCACAATCTCATGGTGTCTCCCTCTCT